ACCACTCCGATCATTCATTGGGGCGCCAAATCAACCCTATAGCCTACTGGTGACCAACTCCTTAATGAGGCCCTGGGTACCGTGGACGATCTAGGTATCAACTAAGAAAATTATTATTTTTATTTCGCATGCACACGCCATACGCACTGCCAAAATATGTGATAATCGTGGATCATTGCACGTGCAGCTGTTTGACGTCCACCAAGTGTGTTTCAATATATTGTTTTTCAAAGTTAAATTTAATATAATAAATAATAATAATAATGACGGATCATGACGTTCAACTGCGACTAGATGGGGATATGTCACTCGTCGAGTTGATCGATACCACCGATTTCATCATAGACTTTATCGGTCGCAAGTCTATCAGCATCGGGCTCGACCCATCTAGAGATTTCAACGTATCTATCAGGATAATCACGCCATCGTGATTCGTAGGTATGTATAACAAGCGATTTTTTGAGGCGCCTTTACTCGTTGATGGGGCATATTCTATCGATTATAACCGATCCGCCGGTTAAAAGCCTCGAGAAACTGTTACTCAGAGACGAGACGATTACACTGTGCAAAGTTAGTTATCGCGGTAATAATATGCTGGTAATCGAATCCCACCTCCAGAAAGGACGCCGTGTATTATTCAGCAGACGAAATCTATTAAAGCTCCAATACATGCAGTGGATTATCAACGAGGTTATAGCCCAAACATCTAACATTCCAAAACTCAGTTTTGGAATGGTTGGAAATCACTGTACGTCAATCATATATACCAGCGATTCCCAACCTCAGGTCGCGACCCAAATTAGGGTCGCGGAGGTTTTTATGGCGGGTCGCGAAATCATTACATACGTCTTACAATTTACATATTATTAAAAAAAAAAATGAAAAAATCCTGAAATATTCTAATAATAAGAATTATAATGATCGAGGAAAAAATAATTTGAAATAGATTATCTAAATGATCTGTCGCAGGCTGTAAAATATACATAAATATACATATTTACCAATTTGATGATAATAAATAAAATAATGTTGAGTTTACAATAAATTATGAATTTTTTTTTTTTTTTGGGGGTCGCCAAAAGTTAAATTTAAAATATTGGGGTCACGCTTATAAAAGGTTGGGAACCGCTGATATATACTATGCCCGATTTTTAATACTGACAAGTATCACTCCATACCACAGAAATATAAGACATTTTTATACTTTATTATATTGTTATATCTGTACCTATTCGAGACGTAGATAACCTGAAACTCAATCAACGTTTGTGTAGACAACATACATGAATATGCAGTGCCAGGAGTCCACGGTGCTGAAGATTAAAATAAAACTGAAACTGAAATAGGTCTTTTAAAAATAAAATATTAACTTTTATAACTTTTTATATAATAACAATTTTAAATTAAACTCTCTCAAAACTCTTAAAAACAATAATTAATTGTATTCCAAATAAATTTCCAAAAAGCTGTTTCTGATATACGATCCGAAACGCAAGTGTGTTTAAATGTAGGTTAGTATTTCATTTTTTGATTCGTATTAATATAAATGAGAAACGAGAAAAAATTATTTCAGTTGAAAATGAAAATATGTGGGTATGGCTGTCAGCTACAGCCTACAGGTTACTGTAACTATTCGTAAAAGAATCAAAGAACACTCGTCAAGCGTTCCTCATTAAAAATAAAAAATAATTTTTTTACAAAACCCTTATATTTATAAATATTAATAATAAATATAATTACAATTAATAATAAAACACAATATTTTCTATTATTTTGTTTATTCAATTTGGTGTAAAAACTATTTAATATTGAATAAAAAAAAAAACGATCTTAAATATATCAATGGGTAGGACAAGTAGGTGCAGTCAAAATTTTATGAAGAGCTCAGTGTGTCATGATTTAAAAAAACCACTGGTACACAGTGTAATACTATACCTACAAATGATGGGACTTAGTCTATCTGCCATAGGAGTTATTAATAATATGTAATGCACTTCTGCTTATGTACAAAACATGTTTAGTGTTTAATGTATGACGTTGATTAATTTTTAAAAATTGTATTGTTATCACTTTGAATAAAGTATGTTATGAAAATAATCTATTCATAACTATAACTTATTAATTAATACGGTGATATAGGGAATGATGTTTATATTTCAAATTTTCTGTTTAATTTTTTAAATCATGTTTTAAATGTTTAAAAAAATGTCTGTTTTAGGGGAAAAATACAAAATAAAAAAAACACTTCACGTTTAAAATACTAATATTTTAATATTTACTTAAAACAGTACTTCATATGTATATTTAAATTTGGTAGGTATATTCTATGAAAAGTAAAATAGTCTTAAAACAAATATCCTTTTTAATTGAAAATTAGCTGTATAAATGTGTGTTAATAAAAAGAAAAAACATTAAATTAATTTAACAATGTTGGGTCCATAGTTTAAATATTAGTTGTCACTTGTCGTTGTCAAGCTCTAAAATTTTGAAATGTTGTCGTTTTGTTAATGAAAGATCGTTTGCTGCATCCGCAGGAGACACAAATGATTTATAATATACAATTTAATAATTAAATTGTTATTGCTGTTGGAGTATAAAATTTGATATAGTGATTGACAATACGTTATACATGGAATATTTATATATTATATTTATACGAATAATTTAATATTGATATGTGAATAATATCCTCGTAAGCTAGATCCCAACAAAAACACTACGCCAAACTTAGTGTAAAAAAACGCTCAGTATAAAAAAAAAACCTCCTCAAACAGTTGTGATATCATTTTATAGCAATGTATTTAAACTTTATAGGAATAGATTTTATTATTATAATTTATGTTAAAATTCACTGCTTATAAATTGAACTTAGCTGGTGACATTATTTAAAACTCATGAGAATTCATTTCGTATTGAGTACCTATACATGTTATCACTTATCTTTGAAAATGAGTGATACTATAATTAAGTGTCATATAAATTAATTGTTATAAATTACTAATTAAGTGTTATAATTTTAAAGTCACCAGCTAAGTTCAATTTATGAGCAGTGAATTTTAACATAAATTATAATAATATATCTATTCCTACATAGTTTAAATACATAGCTATAAAATTATATCAAAACTTTTTGAGGTGGTTTTTGAAGTGAAAACTTCTTTAGGCACGTTGGGCACTCCGTATAAGAAAGCATTTGCGAGGGAGGAAAAAAGTATGATCTCGCGACACCGCCACCGCCACCGCGAGGAGATATATATACAGTGGTATATATATTTGCGAGCGAGGAAAAAATTATGATCTCGCGACACCGGCGACCGCGAGTATATGAATTTATTGCTAAATGCAGAAAGGGCACATGTCCAATATTTTACAAAAATCACTTTATTGCATAATCGAATTTAATATTTATAAATACATGGTTTTGTGCAGACAAGGCACATCATGTCCTATTAAATAGATCCCCGTTAAAAATAATTTAAAATTTCGTTAATTGCAGAAAAGGCACATGTCCTGCAGGACATGTAACCTTTTTGCATCAAAATTATACTTTAGTAATATTATCAAACCTAATCTTCGTGAAATCACTTTATTGTATGACATGTAATATTTTTCTATTTATAAATTTAATTTTGTACAATTGTTTATCAGTAAATAAAGATTATAATGGTGAAAACGTTGCTATACCTACTTATAAAATAAAATGATTATTAGTGAATAAAATAATATTGTACAGGTTGAAATTATCTGTCAATACTTTTGGTATTCATAATTTAAACACGAATAATTTATTTTGTTATGTTTATCATGAGGCAACAGCAAGAAAAACACCTAATGATGTATGCTCTTTTTTGGTTCACTATATTAATAGTTTTGTTGATGATGATGTTGAGGAATTGCATTTATTTTGTGACAATTGTGCTGGGCAAAACAAAAACCAAGCATTACTCAGAATGAAGCATTACTCTAGTTGAAATTAAAAAATTCAAAAAAGTTCAGGTGTTTTTTCCACAAAGAGGACACTCGTTTTTGCCGTGTGATCGTCAGATCGTGACTTTGCATTGATAAAAAAACCACTGAACAGAGTGGATCGTCTATACACTTTAGAAGACTATAATATAGAACTTATTTTAAAATCATCAAGAAATCCAGAACAATTTTCAGTGTTTCTAGTTGATAAAAGTATGATTTATGACTATCATATATACATACATGTACTCTTCTAGTTTTCACTTCTACCGGCCAGTCCCCCGACTGGTTAGGTTTTTTTTTTTTATACTGAGCGTTTTTTTACACGGAGTTTGGCGTAGTGTTTTTGTTGGGATATCACTAATTTTTATGTTATATTATTATTATTATTATTGTTGTTGTTGTAATCATTATTATTAAATATTATAATGTCATATATATGTATTATTATATATTAAACATTTAAGGTTTTAATTATTTTTTTCCATTAATATAATGTAAATATCTCCCCCCCTCCCGAGGCCCCCGTTCATACTTTATTTGAGTATCATTACAATAATTAATAATTGCATGGCACTGCGGCAGTCAATAGAACATATAACGCTGGACCTGCAAGACGGACTTCGGTCGACGCAAGAAAGAACAATATTGAATATATACGCGGGCCGTTACGTATTAAATACGGTTTAAGATAGACAGGTTGCGCAACGCTCTATACAAAACCACATTTTTGTTGAAGCCCAATGTTTCCAATACAGAAAAAGCTGTTCCAGTTAACGCTCCAGCGGTTGAACAGCAAACTATTCTATTTTATATCATTTTCACTTATTCTTTACATTATTTATTAACCCTCCAATTTTTGATTTAGAATCATACTAATTTGCCTTGCGTAGAAAACACGATTTAAGCTGATAGAGTCTGTCTTAAACCGTGGTAGAGAACAGCATAGAGATAAAGTATTGCTATATGGAAAAAATATTGCCTTGTCTAGTAATATTGTCTATGCATTATTTATTTAACTTTATTAAACGATCATGGTGTCGAATAAATGTTGTGTTCCTGGTTGCTGCGACAGTGCTAAAACTAAATTCGGCATTCCCAAAAATTGCCACGATATTTGGGAAAAAGCCACGGGTATTTCATTAAACAGGCAATCCAGGGTATGTGAGAAACATTTTAGACCGTCTGATATTGTTTCCACATGGGTGTCTGGGGAAGGCAGCAACCAAATTTCGGTATGTTCCACTAGAATAGAAAAAGTTTGTAGTTAGTTTATCCATTTTTAAAATTTATCAAAACAATAACTTGCTATTTCTTTTAGTACCTTGTACCTATTCTTTTTTACTTAACACACTATACACAATGTTATGTCCTAGTTGTAATTCTCACTGGCAATTCTCCTATGGAAACGTTGCGCCTCAGAATCTATAGGTTCGTTGTGCAACCTGTTTATCTTAAACCGTGGTATTAACTGAAAACACCGCCGACGCAATGGCTGTGACAAAGCAAGCGCGTACGGTCAGTGCGTGTGTGTATCTCCTCAGTGTGCGGGGAACTTCATGCGGGCCGCAAGGAATTTTATCGAATAACATTTTCTTTTTTACCATAAAAATTCATAATATATTTGGCTATAACTCCATTTATAATGTTCTGATCGGATTAAAAAGTGCAGCATTCTCTTCTGCGGAACATTTCCAATAAGATTGGTGCATTGTCAAACTAAATTATTCTACAAGAAATTAGGTATGCATGGACAACTTTTTTTTTTCGTGATTTCCGATGCTTCCTGTAATATTATACCCGGCAGTTGTCGCGCGTTGTGATTGCCGATGCGTTCATTTTAAGGCGTTTTGTTTTTTTTACTTGGAGCGACCCTGCCGGGTCGTTGGATTAGGTGTGTACCTATTTATAGCATAACTACTGTACTCATCCAAAATGTACGTTTCCTTTTATTCAGACAATAGGCATTACCAATAATATGTTATTTGGACTTCCAGTTAACGGTGAACTACCTACGTAGTTCTTAAAATAGTATTAATTTTTTGATGTCAGACCAGTCGTATTATTGGCTATTTATTTCTTGGTTACAGTTGGCCCTATTTGGCTATCGCATATTTATCTTTTTTTCAAATAAAACAAATTATAATTGTCTACACTATAGCAAGTACAGTACAACGATTTTATTTTCTGTTAAACTACTGCCGAGTGTCGGTTGATTTTGACGTCAAATTTAGGCGAGTACAACATTATTCATAACTACAAATAGTCATTAAACTATTAAAGGTTATTAGTTACCTATTACTTAGTATATACTATAAATTTATACGCGTCTCAAATGTTTTATTCAACCTAATGCAAATTTCCAATTTGTTGAGGGGGTGTAAATGCAGTGATGAGCCACCAAACCTCAATACGGCCCTGTGTAAATTAAGGTAGGTAGATATTAATATGTTTAGGTTGTACCAGTGGCGTATTTGAGGGGGTGCATGGTTGTATGCCCCCCCACAATAGGAATTATTCATTGGTGATCACGGTTATATCCTACATGGCTACATATAGGTAATACAATTATATAGTATATTTTGTACAACTGTACAAGTGATATTTATTATTTATTTGCTATTTTAAAATTTTATCAACCTTACCAAAATGTATTGATAATGATATCATTAAATTCTTGTATAAATTCCTTTATCACGGTTGTAGCAATACACTGATATCCCACTACCACAGAATATCGGGTATCACCGATTTTACCTTGGCTTTTAATCTCCCTAATGCTTATTATTAGTAGATTTTGCTTTTACCTCGGCTTTTATGCTGTTCCATGATGCTTTGTTTTAGATTAAAAACTTGGTTAAGAGTAAAGATGGGCGAGGAGCGAATAACTGGTACGGCATTATTAAATATTCATAGGGATATTGGAGTGGACGACCATAGATCGAATTTCATCAATAAAAAATAGATGTATTTTACTCTGAAAATTGTTGTAAATATTCTTTTTTTAGATTTTTTGTACAATTTATATATTTTTAAAATTTTTTTTTTCATTTTAACAAAACAAGGACTCGACTGGACTGCCTTTAGGCTTCAAGTACATGTATATCATAATTTTTTTTTATAACAGCAAATAAATGGTAAGCAATTATTTAAAAAAAATTTTCCTCCGATGCACCGTTTACGAGATATAAGCGAAAAACCCAAAAAGCGCAACTTTAACCCCCCTCCCCCCCCCGGCTCACCTCCTAGGTGTCAGGACTTTTAGTATGTTCATACCCTAAGCCCCCCGAACAAGTTTCTGAAGGAATAGCTAAGTTACCTGCTCACGCACTCTACACCTCATTTTGGGTCATTCACTCATTCATTGACTGGACTATAAGTCATAATTTTCAGAAAATGTCATTGATTTTTTTTTTAATTTTATTTTTAACAGTATAAAATTGTTTAGAATTACATATTTGGTTAGGGCGGCCCCTAGGGCCCTTCCTGGAGCTGCCCCCGTTTGAAGGTTTAATATATACCTAGTTCATGTGAGGCATCTATTAATCCTGCTTCGTTATATAGTTATATATTATAATACTTCATGTTTTATATTTATGCTGTCCCTGTAAAAAAAAACAAAAAAAATCTCTCCAAAAATATGTGTATTATAATGATTATGGATAATATAATGATTGGACGTTAGGACGGGGCAAGAGGAACTAGTCAGCTACAATACAGTATGCATACATATCAGTTTTTTTATAATTCTCAATAAAAAATACTTCACTTAGTCAAAAGACTTAAAAATATTACCTAAATATTTTGTAGTTAAAAATGTATAATATGTCCAATTATTATAGATAAGGATTGAACATTTAAAACAAGGTTTCTTATAAGTAGTTCATGCTGTAACCAATAAATAAATAAGATATAATTACTAGGTATCACTGCTTTTTTTTTTATGGAAATTTTAAGAAAGACGATATTAATTGATATTTAAATGAAAAATATTTTAGTTATTCACAACTTATGTAGTGAAATTGAGTTTACTGTAGTGGTTAAAATGACATAAACTGGTCTTAACTAGTAGACTCCTTGGCGTTAAAATTAAATACACATTCATAAATTATATTGAAATATTTTTTATTTACTTATAATATACATAGGTAATAAAAATGATATAAAATTTGTATGTACATTTTACGAAGTAAAACATCATTTTTAATAGGTAAACAATAATAAATACATTAATCTAATTTGAAGGTCTCACAACATATACCTTAGGACAGGGGTCTTCCTAAAGACCTAAATTCTCCTGGATGTCGATCACCTGGGACTAAAAATTTCAAATGTAGCTCACTTGTTTGAAAAGGTTGGCGACCTCTGCCTTAGGGCTTAGAGAAACAAAAAGTTTTACATCGTTTAAATGATCTAAATTTAAAAAAAAAAATGTATTTCTTCAAAATATTATCTTAAAATGCCTGCAAAAAAGATCTGTGTTCAGTTGCGTAGCCAGGGGGTGGCTGAGGGGGCTATAGCCTCCCCTCCATTGATCGCGACAACCTTAGAATTTTATCAAGATTTGTAAAAAAAAAAAGTGTAAATAAAAGACATAATATTTTATTTGTATACTTAGCCCCCCTCCCTATACAAAATTCCTGGGTACGCCACTGCCTGCGTTTATATATTTGTTAGATTTTTTGTTTACTAGCTAAAAAAATACTTATACTTTAAAGTTTAAATGCACATAGGTACATAATACACAATTATTTGGATACTAAAACTATAATTGACAAACCTACTATACCAGGGGTGGCCAACTTTGATAGACCTGCGATCGACCTCCGAGTTTTTCTAGGTGGTCGCGATCGACCAAAAAAAAAAAAAAAGGCTGTCAATAAACAAAAAATGTATTATGTGTACAGGCGTGTTACACTTATTTTATTACATTTTATTTACAATATAAATTCACAGTTTAACACTATAACACTACACGTATTTTAATATATTTGATTACAAATTATTATTTTTATTTTATTACTATTTACTTGTAACTGTCATTGCAGACTGGTTCGATTTATCAGTTTAAACGAACGCGATAAAAGCCATTAATAGGAAGTAATGCGGGCTATCCATCCTATGATACGATAGCTAATAGATATCAGTGTATAATCTTGTTTTTCATAGTTATTTATTGGCTTTTTCTAAATCTAATTTTTATATTCGTGGGATATACAAAGATATACAAATTGTTCAAAAATTTAAGAAAATGCGAAAGGGTGTCGCGATCGACTTGAATTCATCTTGCGATCGACCGGTTGGCCACCCCTGTACTATACTATAATATTTAATGTAATATTAACTATGCAAATAATATTAGGTATTACAATAAAATATAATATATGACCACGTGGTAATAAATCTTGATAATAGCTTACTGATGAATGACAACAAAGTTGTAGGTACACCCGGAGGCCGGACGGATTTCGGAATAGAGTGAATGCTAAGACCTGGGTTATCTGGTAATATATTGGTTAGTGGCACCTATGAGCTTATGAACCTACTTGATAACAATTTTCACATTTTTTGGGTAGGTGATTAGCTCAAAGTAGGTGAATTGCACGGTGTTGAAGTTTCTGAAGGACTGCTTGTTGAACTTTTGGCAACTTTTAAATCGTGGTATTCTAAAAACATAAATTAGTTTTATAAACCATTTATTTATAAAAAAAATGATTAATGAACTAATTAAGACATACTATCTGGTTTGTATTGTACTAGTATGGTAACTGAGTTTCCACAATGCTGTAAAATATCTTCAGCTAACTGATATGTTGCACATCTCATGTTTATTCCACAAAGTTCTAATAGCTGATCTCCGACTTTAATACCTACTTTGTAAGCCACACTATGTTCATTAGTAATAGAGGATACAAAAACTCCACTACTGTCAACACAAAATATCTTAATTCCTAGAGGTTCGCCTGATTTCTCTATGCTGATTCGTCTCAACTCGCCATATAATGGGCCATTTCGAAATCCTCTTTGTAATGGTCTTTTGAAATATCTGAAATATTTATTTTATCAGTAATTAGTATTAAGACTGTTAATAATTTAGTTTTAATACTAACTTTGATGCCCAATCATTTACAGATTGTTGCTTGTTGCCAGGCATAGATATTTGTCCAGGATTAAGAACATCAACTCTAAAAGTAAGCATTGGGTCAACTGCAGCACCACTACTTTTATTAGTCACACTTGGGTTGGAAGTGATTCTAAGTAAAATAAGTAATACATTGGTTCATATTTATTATTATTATATTAAAATTATACAATTTTATTTATCAAATGGTACAGAACAAAACAGAATATTTTAATAAATATCCACCCGGACAGTAAAATTTATAGTTTCAAACTATATCATAACATTTTAAAATAAAATTACTTTTGAATACAATGCAACTTCCATTTAGCAAAATTGTATCTTTGACGAAATATTTTTGAGAACCAAATTAATTTGTTCTATTTAAATTTCTATTTCTATTCTAGTTAAGAAATAATTTGAGAAATATACTCTTGTCAAGGAATTTCTAAAATAAGTTGTTTTATAAATTAATTTACTCAAAAAAATTTTAATATTTAAAAAAATTCTAGAAAATAAACTACTTGACTTAAATAAATGTTTTTACCATTAAAATTCTTCTTATAATCAGATTTACAAATTGGTTATTTTGAATTTTTCCAAAAAAATTAAAATCAAATTTTAAATTATGTATTTTCAGTATTAAAAAAAGCTGGGCAAGTGGGTGTCACTCTGCTGTACAGTAAGTTACAAGTGGGTCTCTGTAATGGACGGTGTTAAATTTTAATTAAATGATATAATATAATTGTATAAGAAAAAAAAACGATTCTGAGCAAAGACGGCCAGACAGCTTATAATATTACTAAGTATATTTGATGATATTATTGTGAATAAAAATATAAAATAATTTATATATAACCTACCTATCTACATGAAACATTGTTTTAAATTTTCAATCCTTAGCTATAAAAGTGGAACATTTTATAAATTTTTAACTAAAAATAATTATTATTATATTTTAAATTTGATAAATTTTGCCAAAACTCGATCATTAAATGCTTATAAAAAAAATGGGAATATGTATTTTTAATATTTTTAAACTGATATTGTAACTATATGTGAAGTCTTGTATTAAATTTTGAAGCTCTTTACAAAACAGATAAAATTTAATTGATATTTTTAGAAAAAAACTAAAAAAAAAAAGGAAAATGGCTGTAAGGAGGTTCAAAAACATATAACATTGATTTCCCGCTATGAGATGGAGGTAGTAGAGAATATCTACTGTTTTGTGGGAAGGAAAAATGATAAGCATTGGTTGATGATGGTATTTTGTGATGTAGGCCCTTGTTGCAAGGCTATCCCCTGCATTACTTTCAGTACTGCTATTTTTATATTTAACAGTTTTCATTTTAAGATAATAATCAAATAAATCTTTACCAACTTTACCAGACTTATTTAAATAAAATAAGCAAATGGTTTCAAATATATTATATTTTAAATATTATAATTTAATATCTTATATTTTAATTTTTAATACATAGAATAAAATAAAATATTTACCTGTCAGAGAAATCTATAGATGAAGTAACAGGTTTTGAATTATTTTGTAATGAGCAACCTGGAGGATTATTTAAAAGTACGGACAATGGCGAACGTTCCTTATTCTTATGAGAATGAAGTATTGTACCAATTCCATGTTCAATCACAGGGCCACTTCTAGCTTTTGGCCAAGTATCACTAATCTTGTCTAATTCCTTAGATTTTCTATGATGACTATAAAAAATAAAAATCATAAAAGGTATGCTTATTAAATAAAATATATTATTGTAAAATAATGTCACCTAACTTTAAAAAATAAAGTATAAATATGCAATGAACTAATTCGCATCTACCTAAAAGTTTTGTATAATTAAGTAGTAATTATGGGTTTTGGCTTTATCTAAAACAATTTGTATGATATTTTAGTATTTCTGTTATATATTATAAGATGTACTTAATAATTACGGGGTATACAAAACACCAAATGAACACAACATAAAATGTTCGACATAAATTGGTACTGAAAAAATTATGGCCTTTATTAAATTGTAATGTGCTGATGCGTTAAGGAAAATTTACAATGAAAAATATTTTTTATTAAAACATTTTATTAATTATTTCCATACTCAGAAATTGTTATTTGTATAGCTATGTCTCTTTCTATTTGTTAAATGATAAGACATAATATTATATATATTACAAGCCGATCCCACGCACTTTGTTGCCCTCACAAATGACAATTCTTAAAAAAATGTTGATAGTTCAACTCCTATTGGGTGTAACTCATTGCAGTAAGTGCAACTCAGACACCCTGGTAGGCAATCCAACCATGTCTGATCATGGACAATGTGCAACAGCATATAAAGTAGGCAATCCACCTGCGGTGGATTGCAGACACGCCAGTTAGCGGCGATAAGTGCAACTCAGCCACATTTGTAGGCAATGTGTGAACATTTGATTTGATGCATACTTGTACCTGATCTGACCGACAACCAATGGAAACTAACAAAATAATAAATACTAATTTCTACTAATAATTTCCCCTATAACCAATAGCAACCATTTATAAACGAAAATTTCCATCGTAAATCTCAAAATTGATGTTTGAGCACCTCATCGGGTTGGACATACCTGGTCCAATTGTGAATCTAAACCATCCAGGGAACCACTCAAACAATCACAAAAATGACATCAAAACCGGTTCAGTTGATGAATTACTATACAATTTTCACGTAATTTTTACATATATAAATAGATATGGAAGGTTGTTATGTGTTTCATTCACCATTGGTGTATCAGGCAAATAGTAAGACCAGTGAATATTAAACTTATAAATAGACCTACATAGGTTAGGTTGTATCAATAATGAAGATTATATACTACTGTGTCTGATAAGTTTTGAATTAAATGAAAAAAACATTTTTAGTGAATACTGATACATCTATTTCGCCATTTCAGTTTCATTTAAATGTGTATTTTAAATTACTTTTATTTTCATAATTGTAATTTTCGACTACAATTTGTTTTGAACATATTATTATAATTTATTCAATAAAATTCATTGTATCTAGTGACTTGAATGTCACAAGAATAATATTTATAAATAATAAATTGTTGTTTTCGTAGAGGTAAGTCAGTTAAAAAATGCGTTCGTTTTAAAATAGTTTGTTTATATTTAATGTAAGCAAGTTGAGATGCAAGTGAAGAGAACAATTTTTATATTGGTATTGGTTCCAAAAACTGTACGTAATATACTAGCACAACTTTTGTTGCCATACTATAAATTTGCGTGACCTATCAAAAATCTAAAATGACGCAACTACTAATAAATATTGATAGCTTTAAGCTGAAACTGGCAGTTGCTACTTAATTTTATAATAGACTTGATAGTTCAGAATTATTTCATTACATACTTAACTAAAGAGTTAATGATACAAGAGGTTTCTTTTGAAGAGTTACAAAAGTCTACAAAAGTTACAAAAGGAATTGAATGCTAACAAATTTGGAAAAATCTGTGCATATTAAGAAAAACTGATGATGAAAAATTATATCAGTAGTTGTGTTAAAAATAAAGAAACTTTAATAAACCAAGCAAAAATAAATAATTACCTAAGATATTTAGTAGTAGTGGGGGGTGCAGGATGTGGTCTAAAAGCATCAATTACAGAATCTAATTCTGCTATAGCATTTTTTTGATCTTGTTCAGAGATAGAATTATTGACAGGTGAAGGATTTCTATGAGGTTTTTCTGGTACATTAACCATCACTCTTCTTGACTGAACATATTGAAGTTTTTGATATATTGAATTCTTAGATGTATCTGTTTGTGTTGCACTATTAGTATATTTTTTATAAATACCACGATTTAGACCAGAACCACAATTTCCAGCACAATATGTTGATTTCATAGTAGTAATAGTTAATATATCATGAGATTCATACAGTAATAGCATTGCTTCTCTTAAATGTTTTATACTATCTACTGTTGTGCTGTTAATCTAAAAAAATAACAGAAATTAGAATATCCAGACAAATAATTTTCATTTTAACATTTACTTACACTTAATACTCTATCACCAACATCTAAATTTCCATCTTTAGCAGCAACAGATCCAGGTGTTATTTTATTAATGTATACACCAGTTTCCAATGAGATTCCATGATCACAATTATTTACTTCAAGTTGAGTTGAGAAAAAACTCTTAGATGGAGAAACTGGCTTTCTTCGTCTTACAACCAAAGTAGCACTGCTTAATGATCTCATAGTGTCCAAAACTAATTGCTTACTAATTGATGTACAATCAAGGCTATTCACTCTTAATATACAATCATTAACTCTAGAAAGGAAAAACATACATAGATATTAAAATTACCAAATAGTATAAAAAAAAATTAAATATTTTAAGTTATCATTTATATTTATTAAATAATAAATTTAACAGTTCAGAGGAAGTCATCACACTTTTTGATTTCTCATTCAAAAAAACATAAAACATAGCAAATGTTCATTCACCAGAACTAATCTTGTGTTGAAACTTGCTAGCTGTAATATTAAAATTAATTGACCTATCATAAGAATATCATCTGAAGTTCTAAAGTGAGCCATGAATATTTTTAATAGTTATAATTAAAGCATCAATAAAAGCCTATGAGGTGCCCTCGATAATATTTTTACCTTAATTTATTATAATCGGTCAATTCACTCCAATATCAAAACTAACAACACCAAATTGGTTTTGCTGACTGACAACCTTTTAAATAATGAGTGTTTTGCTAGGAGCCCATGCCAATTATGTAATAATGTAGTATAAACATTTTCATTGTGCGTAATAACCGATTGCCCAGCAAAAATGATAATGTGCTTACACAATCTTTTTGGTCTATACAGAGACTGGGTCCCTGCTGGACAAGCAGTAGTGTTACTATCATCAATTAGGCAAAACATCGTACAACTATCATTTGTAAATTTTCCGAAATCTTTCATAAATAAAAACATCTATTTCTGTAAGTAATGTAATTCTTTCAAGTAACGGGACAGTCCTAAAATATTGTCAACATTTGAGTGTTGAAAATAACTAAGCGTTCAACAGTTTGTTTGTTTAAGTTTAAAGTATAAAAATGTATAAATTGGAAATAATATTGTTCAAATAAATATGCATTTAAAAAATTTATTTTAATATTTTGGTATAGTATACTAGCTAATCCAGCGCACATTGTTGCCTGTACAAAATTACAATTCTTAAAAAAATTGTGATTGTTCAACTCCTTTTGTGTGTAGTTCTATGCAGAAAGTGCAACTCGCTAATAATTATTATTATAACAGCAACTATAGAAACCATTAATAAACAAAAATTTCCATCGTGAATCTCAAAATCCCTGTTTGAGCACTTCTCCGGGTTTTAATTTCCCCTTTTTAAATAAGCATACAACACTCAAGGACATAGTAGCATTCTAATGATGAACGTATTTTTGAAAACTGCCCAGCCGTTCTTGAGTTATAAATGGTCTAAAACTTTTTTAACTCTCTTTTATATATATACTAGCCGACCCTTCACAGCTTTGCCCATGATTGGTTGTTTATTTTGCCTTCGGATGATGATATGTATAATTTTTTATTCAAATTGTATTGTTTAATGTGATTGCCAAATAAATATAAATACGGTTACTGAAAACGTATTAAAATGTTTCTAGCAGTATTAATGGTAAATATATTTTTATAGCAGAACCCGTGCACTTCATTATCAGTAAAAAATCGAAAATCCTAAAAAAATAAAATTATGAATGTTCAACTACTTTTGGGTGTAACTTGCTGCAGCAAGACAAAGGGAAACTCTTTCACCAAATACCTGGCAATGTTCAATAATTCAATTTGATGCAAGCTTGTACCTGATCTGACCAAATAACCAATAGCAACCGATAATAAATACGCACTGATTTCTATTGTTAACTGTAACCAATGGGAACTATTAATAAATAAAAATAAAATGTCCAATGTGAACTCAATGTCCCTGTTGGAGCACTTCTTTATAATGCGAATTTCGGTAAATCCTTTCTTATTGCACGGTGAAAGTATTAGAAAAACCACTTTATCAAATTTCAAGTTCGGACTTTGAGTAGTTTTTGAGATACAGTGATCAGTGAGTCAGTGGTATTTGGATTTTAGGTATATAATATATAGATTCTCTTCTCCCTCACCTCTGACAAAAAAAAATGAAAAACCGGGCGATGTGATGACACTCAGGAAGGTATTTGGAACAATTCTGTGGATAAAAATTAAATAGTGTAGTCACAAAATTGGAAAAAAAAGGCCTGTTCTTTTAAATATATGAGGATTCGATTATCTTTGTTTTTTAATTTTTCAAGAACTTTATACTTATTTCTTATTAAGAAAAGTGGTACTTAAACCTACAGCAGACCGACCGGTATAACAGTAAAAAATTTCAGCCAAATTGGTTCAGTAGTTTTCTTGGTTAGCGTGGTCGTAGAAAGCCCCTCACAATTTTATATAGTAGTATAGATATGTATATAATGTACATTCTATATGGTTATAGTATAAAATATATAAAGAGAATATAAAATATAAGTTTGTTCAACCTCAATTTCCTTTCTGCAACACTTCCTTTATTGACGGATTTTATATAAATTGCAGTATCATTCGGATACAAAGGATCATCTCTTCCACCAAGTAAATCAATTCCTAAATCTTCATTTGTCCCTAAAACACCCTGAAAATATACATTTATATTAAATCATATGTAAGCTAATAATATTTTAAATAATACTTACTAAATCAATATTTAATATTTCTGTATCCCAGTCTTGAAGGTTGGTATTTATTGAAGAGTCTTGATTATAACGACCAGTTGCCTGTAATTGAAGTAAACGAACTTCTTTTTCTAATTCAACTTCCATCTTTTCCCTACAAAGTAAGAAAACAAATTAGCATAGGATAACAATTGCATTTTAAACTATAACTATCATACTTAAAATAATTGAGTTCTTTAACTGTATCACTTTTTTGTTTCATTATGTCATCACAGTCTCTAATAGCAAGCGCTAACTTGCTCACAGCATCATCGCGCTGTTTTCTTAAACTGTTACAGAGGGTTCGTATACTTTCACGCTCTAACACAATTTTATCGCGTTCGCTAAAAGCAAAATCACGACGTCTTTTAGCAATTTTTGCTTCCTCTTGAGACTCATCTAATTCATTATGATATTTATTTGCTAAATTTCTTAAACGTTCAATTTCCTTATTGGCTAGATCTAGATTATCTATACGTTCTTTCTGACAAGAGTTAAATAAATCTAAAGAAGCATCTTGTTCTCGTGAATCATTTCTATTTTTTCTTTCTTTTTCTATACTAAATCCATAATTTAAAAGACTCTTACATTCTCTTTGAAATTCATTTTTAGTTGTTATCTCTCCAAATCTTTCCTGATAATTATTACATTCTTTAAGTGCTTTATCACGATCATGTAATGCTGATGATATTTCACGTAATAATGATTCAATGTGCAATTGTAGAGTTTTTTTTTCATCTCTAAAAGATTTTATTTCATTTTCCAATAATTTATTTTTGTTGTAAGCTCGAGATAAATCTTCAGAGAGCTTTTCGAGTTCATTATTAACAATATCGCGCTCACTCATAATGCGTCTATATTCTTTAACAGCAGCATCATGAGTTTTATTCAATTCTTTAAGTTCTGTTCTACTTTTTACACTATCAGCAACAGCAACTTTCATATTATTGACTGCTTCTTTATGTTCTTGTTGAACTATTTGTATAGCATCTTGAAGATAATTATGTTCCATAATTGTGATATTCAATTGACCCAAAGCAGTTAAACGCTGTTGATGACAAACCTCTGTTTCTCGAACAGCTATATCCCGTTCCTTCGATAATTCATTACATTGTTTTTTTAGTTGATTAATTTCATCTTTCATCATGTCCATTTTAACAACAGCTGCTGAATGTGTAGTGTGCAAGTCTTCATATCCCTTTTTCAAAGTTTTATAGCCTTCTAGCGTTGAATCATATGGCATGGAGCGATCATTAAGCGAAACACCGCTTGCTGTATCATCTTCAGGAATATCCTGAAAAATATTTAAATTATGTCAAAATATAATTTTAAAATATTTAATGTTATAATTTATTACTCTATCTCTGCTAAAATATATGATGGAATAAAATAAATAGCAAAAATACAAATTTTGTATCAAATATTCAAGCAATATCCCCAGCAATGGAATGATGGAGATCATAAATAAAATAAAATTTGATTTGTTCATCTCTCTAAACTTCATCTCATTTCATATGTATACATACATGGTAGTTCATAGCAATAAGAATTTGTTATTTTATTTTTGATTTGTACTGTATTGTTATTGTATCACCTATAAACCTTAGTTGTTATTATCTAATTTATGTAATTGTGCCTTTAAAGTAAAGACTATTTTATTTTTGTAGTAATTTTAAGGTGAAAACAGCCCATGGGGGATAATATCAATATACAGTAGAATCCGTTTAGTATATAACGCTATATATAACGATATTCCGCTACCAGTGGCGTCACACGGGGGGGTTTTGGGTGTTCAACCCCCCCCTTTAGTATTTTTCAGTTTACGTAATAACGTAAAAATGTATAGTAAAAATGATGACAATTTAAAAAAAATATTATATTCCAAATTATACTCCATTATATTATAACTTATAAGCAACCCAGTTTGTTGTTATAATATATTGTAGATATTATTGATAACTTGTTACAAATTAATGAATTATTGGGAAATTTGTTCAAACACAAACATGAGGGTCGACAATCGTGTAATCCGATATAATATGCCTTAATAATAGCTATCTCAGAATCGCTAATACTATAGTATAGAATCTATTTCTCAGTTTTCAATCAAATTTCTGACGCTTTGGACGTTTAGTAAATTGTCCTTACTGTTTAAATATTTTATAAAACAATACAAATGAAAAGAATAAACGAATATTTTTCTAACTCACTAATTTATGATACAATTAACTCGGAGGAACCGGGTAAATATTTAATACATTATATTATCAACCTAGGACCTAGGTACAAAAAAAATGATTAATATGGTAAAAATAAATTTCTCTTTATACCTATATTTTATTGAATTGTATATAATATATTATTATATACATATTGTATGTACGCGTGTAACTTTGTAGTTATACTAAATAATTACCTGTAGGTAATAGGTACCTATATATTTTTTAAATAATAATCGAGAATTGTAAAAATATTTTTAATTTCACCTTAAGTCATTGCTAATGAGCCGATTACTCATTATGTACAAAATAATTACTATAGGTACATCGTTTTGATTCATCAATGTATTATATATATATATATATACTAGCTGATCCCGTGCACTTCGTCGCCCGTTAAATGTATCAACTCAATATGTCTCAAACTTTGTTCAATTCGTTATTCAATATTCGTAAAAACAACTGTTCCGATCTTGATGAAATTGTTACACTGTGTGTATTTTGATCCAACTTAAAACATAGGCTAATTTAAAAAGGGAGAGGACCAATCCCGGGAATCAAACGGGAATTTTGAGATTTCAGATGGAAATTGTTGTTTGTAAATGGTTGCCATGGTTATATAAATAATAATAATGATAAAAAGAAATTATTTTCTTTTCTTTTCTTTTTAAATATAAAAGATGTTGTATCTATTATTTTTTTTTTTATATATATAACCAATACCTTAGCAACCATTTATAAACAATTATTTCTACCGAAAATTATCAAAATCCCTGTTTGAGCACTTCTTTTATTTTTTTCTGGACAACCCTTATCACTTAGGGGTATGAAAAATAGATGTTAGCCGATTCTCATACCTACTGAATATGCACAAAAAATTTCATCAAAATCTGTCAAGCCATTTCGGAGGAGTATGGCAACGAAAACTGTGACACGAGAATTTTATATATTAGATACATATATATTATATATATATAATTTTTTTATATGTAAGCCCCCCCCATTGAAATAGCTTGTACGCACTGCCGCATACAACGATTCCCAGCCATATACTTTGATGGTTTTAAACCTCACGTGCAGTATGTTTTTATCATACAGATATAACAAACTGATTCTCTAGGTCCTTAGAAAATCCTTACAAGCGGATTCTACTGTAATTTTATTTAAGGGTAAGTGGAAATATTTAATTTATAAAATATTAGGTCATACAAGTAAATCTTAAAAAATAAGTATAAAGTATGATTGTCCAAATTTGGTTGTTCCATCACATTCAGTATAATAAATACTATTGAAAATAATCAAAGAGATTTTTGAAAATGTTATTTGGGCTACCGCAATTTTAGAAAAATGAGCATGAAAATTAAACTTCATTTATGCCCTTTTAAATTATTCAATATTTCCTTCAAACATTTCCACCTTCCATAATCCATCAAGTATAAATACATAATAAGATAAATAATGTTATATTATAAAGTTAAATCATTCAAGTCAACAAACGCTTAAAAATAAATAATATACTCTAAATAATTAATGTATCAAAAAATAAATATGTATATTACTATTTACCATAAGAATATTATATATATAGTACATATGTATTAAGAATTAGATTAGACAAGGTCAAAAATACTGACCTGAAATTCACAACAGTACACTGAATGAACAGTTTGTACTGTAAGCAGTAATATACTAAAACGTCATTAGGACTATTAATAGGGCCACTATTATTTTATTATTTTATTAATACCTATACAAATTACAAATAAATTTTTAAATTAGATAAGATAGTAATCCTCGGTAAAATCAATTTTATTGCTCCTTCCAATGTTTAAAAAGTAATAAGAAATATGTACCTGTTCGGATCTATTCAAAATTTGTTTTTCAACATCTAGTTTAGTACATAATGAAGATGAATCTTGGTCAGCCTGTTCAATTCGATTAATCAAACCTTGATTTCGATCACGATAGTATTCCAATTCTCTTCTTGTCTCATCAAATCTTCGTATTATTTCTTCATGTTGTCTGTGTAATGAAACAAATATTATGATGGATATGCTTAAACTATTTTTCATATTTGATATTAAAATAATTATATACTTTCTCAACATCGTCAACTCATCCATTGCTTTATCACATTTTTGCTTTAATTCGTCATAATTGCGTTCACGATTAAGATTAGCATCTTGTTTGCGATCATTACTTCGATCTGAATCACTTTGAGTAAGCATAACTATCATTTAATAAAAAAATTAAATAAAAATAGGTATACTGATATACATGTAAACAGATTTTACAAACCAGCATTTTCAGGATTTCCAATAGTACTGTTTGACGACATTTTAATATATTTAGTCCAAAGCAGCACAGAACCGTCAGAAGCGTTTTTTGAGCTTTTACAATTGCATGTTAATTGTATAATGTTAATAACATTTATAACGGTATGTGCTGAATTTCTCCATGACTAATAGCTAATAAACAAAGTAAATAATCAATTAATGGAAAAAAATATCCAATGAAAAAATGAAAAATGAATTTAAATGTGAGAAACAATAAAACGAGTTGAAAAAAATATAATATATAATTATATATGGTATGTACCCAACAACAAATAAACGATTGCAAACTGTATAGGTAAATAGATTGTAAATACTAATGACTAATGAGAAACGAATTTTCGTCGGACTATTCGTTATAATATCTATTGTTTGTTTGGATTTGGGATCGTTTGTATTTACAATTTAAAAAAAACGCATCATCATGATGACAAAGCATAACTGAAATTGTATAATTGGTCGAGAATTGATCACATGACTTCTCAAGTATACGATCGTGAATTGTGAATGATAATGAACTTACTGATAAGGAGAAAGACGGCAGCCATTTTAAACTTAAGTTGCTGACATACCTGTTTATTTTGTCATGCTCTTTATGGTCTTGCAATAATTTTCCATTTTGTTTGCCCATCTCTGTGAGTTTTATTACGATGGGTTTGTATATTTTTGGTAACTTTATTAACATAGTATTATAACATGAAAAACCAAATTATATTCAATGGTTGTTGTACGCGATGTTTCAGGTTTTACTGGATCTATGAAATGTGGTCCCGAAGCCAAAAAGTACAAACTAATGTTTGAAAAAGACAAAGATAATTTAGTGTCAATATTATCTAAATTATTCAACAAAGAAGTATTATTTGACAAGAAGGTAAATTAATTTTGTTATAATATTTTGATTAGTTATTAGGTACTTATTAATATAAACTTGGCCATTATTATGCCATCTACATTAACTATATTCAATATGAGAAGAAACTCAGTGGTCACATTATTTCCTCCAGAAGCCCTATGTGCAGTAGCACACACTATGTGCAGTAGCTAATATTAAATGTGCAGTAACAAATTTAAAAGTGTGCAGTACTCATTTTTGGTTTTATACATTTTTATTTGATTAATATTCAATATTAATTATTGAAAATTGGTAATTAGCATATTATTGAATTCGTTTAAAATCCTTAACACTAAAAATAATACCTACTACATCATATTCTGGGCGGCTTATAACATAATAATTACCTATATTAACCTAAGCTATTTCGTTTTTAATTTTAAAATGTTCAGTCATATTATAGGTATCAAGGAATTATATAGAAGATTGTTTTAGATTGTATTTATTATAACTAATTATTAATGAATAGGTAACAAAAACAATTATGCAATGAAGTTATATGTGGCATGTGGCATGTGCACTACTAGGTGCATTATATTAAAATATTTTGGTGTGGATTAAGGTGTGCAGTAGCAAAATATCTTAATTTTAGGCCCTGAAATGGTTAACCACCAAGACAGTCTTGAAAATAGTAAAATACCCATACTCACTACTCAGTTCAAGCCCAGAATAAAGCCTCCAATGTTCTTCTCATATTGAACAGAGTTATGAATGTCTTTTGGGTGGGTGTTAGGTTGAATAATTATTTGGTCATCAAACTTTTTTTTACTCAAGTACAATTATTTTCTCTTGTCTCATTTGTTCTTCAAGATTTTTGCATGAATGTTATTAGTTATTTTACTTTTACTAAAAATGTATGTCATTATTTTATTTTACTAGCTTTCTACTGATATGAATTTCAAATGGAACGCATGATTAAGCAGAACCGCTGGTGCATGTTTCAATAAACATATGGTCAAAATAAACAAAAATCTAGGATGTGAAAGAGTATTCTCGTTTGAACTTTCCTCTAAAGTAATTTTTTTTCAAATACAATTGTATAAGAAAAAAAACTATAATTAATATAAATACAGATTGTTGATACAGCTGAACGATTAAGAGATATATTAATTCATGAACTTTGCCATGCCGCTTGTTGGATATTTAATGGTATTTCGAAAGGACATGGCCGACCATGGAAAAGCTGGGCAAATAAAGTTATGCAAAAGTTTCCAGAACTCCCAATTATAAAAAGATGCCATAGTTATGTCATACAAACTAAATTTACTTACAAATGCGTAAAATGTGGTTATAGATGAGTAATTAAATTGTTTCTTTTACTTTTATTGATGTATATTATTTAAGCATAATTATTGTGTTATGTGATTCAATAAGTACTAATATGGGATTATACTGATGTGTAGTAATAATCGTTTATTTCAGGGCTGCCACTAAGTTACTTTTTCAACTAAAAGTCACTTTTTTTTTGTAGGTCTCTAAAAGTCCCCTTTTTTCATTAAAAGTAACTTTTAGTCACTTTTTTAAAATATAAATGATAGTTTTCTTAAAATTAGCGTTTTTTTTTGTATAAATCTATGTATAAAATATTGATAAAAATTAAAATGAGTTATATATGAATATTTTATGTTGTATATTAAATTGATAATTTTAATATTTTATATGGCTTATTTTAAACCATGGGTGTAGGTTTGCAACCGTATTTTATTAATATAATCAACAATAGACAATGTATTATACCACATCTGATATATTCAATAAGCAATTATTAAAACAATATTTTTGTATTAATTTTGTTAAACTTAGATTTAAACATAACCAAATTTAAATTACTATTTGTTCCTATCTGTATATGAAGCAATAATTAAAAAAAGACTGTTACTAAGAAAAATCTTAATTTATTAACATGAAATATGTTATTTGTTTGTTTTGTATATGTACTATTACTATAGTATATAAGAATAAATTTAAAAAAAAAATGGGGGTGGAGTGGCCAAGTGTCAGAGAAACAAGTGCCGCCATCTGCCATCCCACCCGGGCATACCAGATACCTACAGGTGCCCAATAAAAATTCTGCGAAACAAAACACACAGGTGTTCCTCCCCCTACCGGCATAAAAACTTACAAAAAACCAAAAAAAGCCAATGGCCACGTAAAAAAAAATTAATTAATTAAAAATATTTCGGTTAAATAATAATATGGTTTTATGTCTTTTATTATTTCCATCCTCTAATGAATTTTATACTAAATTAAATTAATATACTAATTTAATGATCTAAAATAATAATAAATAATTGTAATTAAAAAATATCTGTCACTTTTTGGTCACTTTTTAAAATTTTTTAGTCACTTTTCCAACTATTTCCAATTTTAAACTCTAGTGGCAACCCTGTTATTTTGATGTGTTAACAAAAAATAATGCATGAAAGTTTATTAAATGAATATATGTTTATTTAACACGTCAAACTACAATTATGATCCTAACTGACCGTACGAACCCTACCAAGCTACGGGCCTGTCATCAAAACCTTAAAAAAAAACTAAAATTTTTTTATAATTAAGTTTAGTACTGTTTTAAGACTTATTACACTGGCTTTCTGACTAAAAAAAAATGAGGTCTGCCAAGTTGTCTGCATTTTAGATGGTTCTGTCAGCCATGACCCAGGGGGCTTCTATAGTCACACAAAGGTTAGGATTCATTGGCTCAACGGATTCTACCCTGAAAGTAATGCCTCGTGGTAATGTACGCTCATGTGCATAAATATCCTTAAGTGTATACTATAAATGTTATAGCGTAACTATATACTGTGTCTCCACACAACAATAGTGTTGTGACAATACTATTTAAAATATATTTTATATATATAATATTACTACCCAGTGCATTTTTATTGTATGTAATATAACAGTACATATATGAGAATATATATATTATATATATTATTATTATTATTATTATTATATTATTATTATTATTATTATTATTATTATTATTATTATTATTATTATTATTTATATATATATATATATATATATATTATATGTGAACTAACTTTCAATCATATGTAATTAGTGCACATTGGACATACCAATTAAATTAAAACTAAAAAAATCCACGATAAAACTACGATGATTATTTATATATAATTGTTATATAAATTATGCAAGTAACACATAAATTACTAGGAAACAATAGGGATTAAAAATATAAAAAAAAATGAGAATCCTGTAGATATACATTTAAAATATACAAATATTTAAGATTTTTGTAAAATATAATAGATTATAGAGATTCAAATAGGATTTTCTGTAAGGATATAATTGAATATTATAATAAAAAATAATAAGCACCCAAGTTACATACTCGATTACACTAAATAGTTCAAAGTATATATATATTTTACTATATTATTCACATAGTATATAATAATTAATATTAATTGGTGGAAGATTTATAATTATTAAAAAATATTGTAATCAAAAAGGGAATACACTTATATTATTATATACTAGACTAACATTTTAAATTTCAAGTAAATAGTATATTCTTTTATTGTATAAAAAACAAAATGTAAGTAAATATTGTAAACGGCATTAAAAAATTATAAAGTGTCTACAATATATGCATCAAAATTGTAAACTGTTATTGTAATCAAATGTAAAATGTATGTCAAAATTGTAAAATCAACTATTGTAAACTATTGAACTTAAATATCATTGTTAAAGATTCTTAGCCTTTTAAGGGCTAATAACTTTTTTTTTTGGTTGGGAGGTGTAAAGGTTAGTCTTTACGCATTTACATTATTATAAGAGTAGATAGTCCTTCCACGAATATCGCCCTAAAGTGGAAGCAGTGTCACTCTCTGTGAGAATAGTCGCTTTGCAAAACTGTTACAACCACCTCAAGGACACCTAGGCGCCAATCAAATAAAAGGAACCGACATTATATATACACAGGCCAGGAGAACAGCACGATCAGATGTACCAGAGCCACCAAGATCGGAGCCACTTTCGCCACCAGCCATTATATACTACTACGACGAGTTATACACGCTACTACACATTACCACAATATTAGGTTTATTTATTAATATAATAAATTAATAAAACTGAATTTTGATTACTATTTTTAAAATTGACTACTGTTTATTTCAAAAGTATCATATTTTGGATTCCTGAAGGGCTGCACATAACACTATTCTGTGCAATCAATATACACATCTGATAATATGCGTTTGTCGTCGAATAGCAAAACCACCTAAACATATTCTTCTGTGCCTAAACTAAACATTTCTTGTGGGCTATAACTACTGTGTTAGTATCAGAGTACCAATATCAAAAAAGGTAAATTGTACAGGAGAGAGTTTTTCATATTTAATAGCTTACAGACTACAGTAATTTGTAAGTTACCTTCAGCCACATACCTACAAGTATAACAAATTGTATTTGAACACTTCTTGTAAGTTTGATGATGTACTTTTTAAAAACTTAAATTTACTAGAAATAGTATTTATAAATAAATCAATAAATATTTTGAAATAAGGTATTATTGCATTGATAATTTTATTAGTTAACTACTTACTATTTATATTAATATACTTTTCTACACACCACACGAGAACACAACGACAAACATATATCATAATTTACAAACGTTTAACAATAACATTTCATTGTGTACGGGGCTCGAGAGTTGCTACCATCACTGCAGAGGGATGCAGAACACTATTAGCCTAGTCAGCTACCGTTTTTCCTAAACTGCTCTAGTTTTACAAAATGGTTGATTCACAAGCAACTAACGTTTTTGATAACAGAGATTCCAAAACAAGTAACAGTAGATACTTAAAACTTATACCATGTGTTTATTTTATCAATTCATGTATTTGATAAGACTTTCAAAATATTGTAACTCGTTTTGAGCTGTTTACTGCCATTTTCAATTTTTAAATAAACTAGTTGGATAATACAGTTGACTTAGTAGAATATTATATGGTGTAAAGTAAAACTTATAGTAAAGTATTTGAAATCAAAGAAAAGAAACTGTTATCAATTTAAGGAAAATGTATCTTGAGACTTGAATGCACTTAACATTTGTTTTTAACATATTACCATTACGTCTAATGTTAAATACAAATTATTTAAATCTATTTGTATCTATTATTTACATTTTTTTATTTTGGCAATACAATCAATACAATTGTGAATAAAAAAAGGTATTTCTTCTTAAATAAACAAAATGAGCATGAAAGTTCATTGCATGACAACAGCAATTTTACCATCATTTATTGAGTTGAATCAATACATATTATACCTGTAGGTGGCAGCAGGACAATACCCTACCAGCCATTCCCTTACAAATACAGAAACAAAAATTATTTATAAATGTATTATCATCTCCATTTTTTACAACCATTACATTTTACAATTATACCAACGATATACTTATTTATTTAAATGGGTTATATAGTAAAGCTTATATATTCATAGTCATAAATAATCATAAATTAAATATTTAACAAAATGTGGAAAAAAAATATAAGAATCATAAATTATTAATGACATAATTAGGTTACCTAAACACATTAAAAGATACAATTATACCTAGTATTACTGAAATAATAAACATTAAACCTATTTAGTATTTAATTGAATAGTTTAACAACAATGAACCAGGGACTAAGAAGTTACATTTAATTAATAATTCTGCTCAATTGATAATTCCATTTGATATTTTAAAAGTAAAACGAAAAACTGATTAATTCATCTAACTACTAAAGTTTTAACATTTTTATTGATAATAGAGGTGATTTTGACGTACGACATCACACTTAAAAGCAAAAACCTTTAAAAAGAAATGATTTAAAATGCATAGCTTAATAAACGAAATAAATTTTTTATATGTACAACATTGCTATTAATAAAAAAGTATTTAAAAACTTCTCTTTAAGATTTCAGTCAATTGATTGTTAATTATTAAACAATTTAAGATTATTCTTTTAATTTTAATTTCTGTAATGTTAATAATTATCATTTCATTGCATACAGTAAAGTGTTAAATAATATGTGAAGTATTAATTATATTCTTATACATTTGTTTATATTGAAATCCCTACATAAACTAGAGAAAAATTAAACTTTAAGAATACTTTATTTAACTAACTTTTTATGTACCTATAGTAGCAAAAAATAGTTCTACATAACCTGCAGTATATCTCTTGGATTGGAAAATTTCGATCAATATGTTAAACTTAGAGAAATGTATTTCAATGGTTTTGAAAATAATGATATTTATTAGACAAAA